TTGTGTAATTTTATAGCGTTTTGTGTTTAATTCATAATATTAATAAAGCTTTATACTTCTTAATGCATTTTTAATACTTTGTATAATAATTTTTTTTATTGCTTAGTACAATATTTAAATTGTTTAATACTCTGTACTGAAAAGTTACGGGCATTAAAAGATGAATTGTAGTGAATAAAACAGAATTAAAATTTCTGTTATGCTGCCTGTATTTAATTCTTAGTAATAATATGCATTGTATTATTTTTACAAAAGAATAAAAAGTTATTAATCAGTTTTGTAATTAATTGTAATTGTTTTTTGTTGCGTTAATTAATTTTATAGTGCTTAGTATTTATTGTTTTTAATGATGCTTGGGCTAGCCAAGCCCTTGCGAATTAAGGCAGAAAGGAGCACCTTTCGTTTGACAAGAACGCACCGCAAGGGTGAAAGTGCAACATAACTAGAACCCCCGAATAGATGGCAGAAACACTCAGGGAGAGCGCAACCAGAAACAGTCCTCTCATACGAGAGGCCACTTGCACAATTTAGACGTAGATCTGAAGGGAAGGGAAATTTTTTTCAGATCCCTGTACCCAAGATACTGCTGCTTAGTATATAATATTTAGCACTTTATATTATTCGTAACATTTTTCAAGACTAAATTAAAAGGTATTAAACGTCTTTCTGGCACAAATAAAATGTATCATTACCTAATTCTATAGTGATTTTTGTATTCAATCTATTATATTCCTATTGTTTTGCACTGTTTAAAAATATTTTTAATTCTTTGTGTATCTACATTATACATGTAAAATAAATAAAATGTCATAACAATTCTTGCTTTCTCAATGAAATCTGGTAGCTTATGATTACAAGTAGCAGAATTCTTTTTATCTTTATTATTATACCATCTTTATAATTCTTATCTTTATAGCTTGTAATTGATGCCATCATAAACCGACACATCTGTCACACAGTAAATTGACTGGATTTGCAAGTTCACAAATATTTACAAGCATTATTTGTAAACGCATTATGAGTTTTTTTTTTTAGTGCTTTCTCCCTTAAATTATTTTTTAGTAGTGAGAAAACTTTTTTTTTTTGACTTATTGTTGGACGAAAATTGCATCAAATTACCCACGTGAAGTGAATTAAATTTTTGTTAGCAATCACAAATCTTATACTTGTTAGTTATCATTTCAGAATTATTTTTTCCGACTGGTTTAAAAAAAAAATTTTTTTCAATTATTATAGTTATTGTATATTTTCTTAAAAAAGCTTAATATTATTTTTATTATCATTAGAAGTTTTCTTTTATACAGTAATTTAGTTTTTAAACATAAAAATCCGAAAAAATTAACTGAATAATATCAAGAAATCTATTTACGTAAAAAATTCATTTGCATCAAAAATTATAAAGGTGGAAAAAGCAGACATACTTCGAGCACTCAAGCATAGACTAACATTCTCAGGACTCACTAGAAGTGAATGAGAAAAACAAAAAATTTTTAGAAAAAAAGTGTAAAGCTGCTAATAAATAAAGCTGCATTACCAAACTAGAGTCCCGCAGTCAACTGATCGTAAAGACGTGGTTCCCAGTAGAACAAGCATCACTGTCTGCGGTCAGTAAGCGGGTGGGTGACGACTTTGATCAGCCTGCGTAGAGACCGAAGGTGCGCGGTATCGGTCCTCGTTAAACTATTCTACCGTAAAGTGCTTGATAATCTATAATATACGCTTTAAGAATTTTTGTCGAAAATAAAAATTAAAGCATACTGAAGATTTCTAAATAATATTTAGGAAAAACAAAAACTTTATCGAAATCTAACGAATCACTACTGAAGAAAATGAGACTGAAAACATGAAAAACTTTTAAATTGCTTGAAAAAAATATATAGAAATGAAGGCGATCATTGTGACCGAACCCTCAATAAGTTTCATCAAACCGGCACATTGCTTTTGATATTTTTCATGCTACTTTCCTCGTTGGTGATTCGACAGATTTCGACAGCAGTTTTGTTTCTTTTTACTTGAATATTGATTCCTTTACCTTAGCATGCATACTGTTTTTATTACATTTTTGTCTAGAATTCTAAAGATATGCATTAAGAACTATGCTTACGGAACTAACTGTACGATGAAACTTGAAATACTGGATAAAAAAACAAAGTAAAGAGTTCCCTGAACATCCAGTATGATCCCATATGATCAAGAAGAAGGTTTATGTATTACAATTTCATGACCAGCTCTTAGTTATGGCAATGTAGTCAGCAATGCGCACAGGCCACCATTACTTCCCAGGCAAGCTGGTAACCATTGATCTGAAGCTGGTTGGACTTCTTATCCGCCACTGGGGATCGAACTCTAGTTCTTCACCATGTAGGTTCAATGTCGTAATCAATAAACCATCGCAGCTCAATACAAGATGTTTTGGTTATTTGTACTTATTTTTGCTTTTTAAATATTTTTTACACTGCAAACATTATCAAAAATTTTTAGACCTTTTTCTTACATATATCGCAGTTTATTTTCTCAAAAAATAAATAAATAAAAAGTGCTGCTGTTTGAGGTGCTTTTAACGTGGCATTTTGTTTTGCAGCGCAAAAACTATGAGATTTAAAAACTTGAAGTTACGAAGGTATGTGAAAAAATAAACACAAGGAAAAAGATAGGCGTTCAATAATTAGATAGTGAATTATTAACTGTTAAACTTATAGTAAAAGACACCTTGCGAGTTGCTTTGTGCTCCCTTCCCAATAATGCCAATAAAAATTTAAAGAACTGAACGGGCCATTTTGTTTCTGGAATACAGCACGAGTTTTTCTCGTTTTGAAATTCAATTTGTTCGATTATTGTAGCAAAATTTATTGATCACTTCCGAGATTTTTATTTTATAAGCTCGTGCTTGAGTTGATGTTGAACGGAACAAAGAATAAAATTTAAGAAAGAGAAAGTTTGTGTTTTGCCAGATATAAATCACAAATATTTATATAAAATTTTTTAAAAGCATAAAAGAAAGAAGAACATTTAAGAGAAAGTGAAAATCATCTCTTATAATGGTGTAGGTCTCGTCGGCGAGTGAAATTGCTTTTCATTCTTCGTATTGAATCATACGCTCTGTATTGCTTAGTTTAAAAAAAATTTCCAATTATAGTTGATTTTTTTCATACCATCTTTTTTTCTCGTTGTGATTAACAAATTAACAAAATGTTGCATAAAATTATATTTTTATGTATTTTAATAACAAAATGCTCTTTATTTTTATAGAAAATGTCAAAAAACTATCCAACTGTACATTAAATAACAGATATATAATATTTGAAATTAATATCTATTTAGTAAGAGTATTATATTTTTCTAGAATTCGGTGAAAATTTTAATCGAATATAAATCGGAACATTTCAGCAACCGATTCCGCAGCTCTGATCGACATGTTGTCTTATTTCTGTTTCCTATTTTCCACTTGACTTATTTCTACTTTCATCGCTATTTTTCATATTCATTATAATTTAATAAGAAACTGAAATTTATTTTATTTTCTAGCACAGGGATGGGCCACAGGGATGGGCAAACTTTTTTGGTCGAGAGCCAAAAATCGAGAAAAAAAATGTTTGGTGGGACTAATAAAACTTTCAAAATTTTTAAAAAAAAAAAGCGATATACAAGTTTTAATTTAAATATTTTGTGAGATGAATGAAATTGCGATTTCGTTTTTAAAAGTTCCTTATATTAAGGTTCGAAGTGAGATGTGCCTATTTTACGGAACAAGGCTAAATGCTTTTCTGTTAGTCCACTTCTGAAATGATTCTTTCTAAGGTTCAAAGTTGAAAACTCTTGTTCACATATATAAGATTAAGCAAACATAGAGCTGATTTTCTGGGCATGAAATATTAAATTTTGGAAACTAGCTTTTGGTAATGATTTGTAAAATTTTGGCATATTTAGAAACAACTGCTTCAGATGATTGTTAGATTGTCCGCTCGTTGGATCTTAAAATGCGTAGTCTGCCAAATGTGAAGTACATTTTACCTATATTAGATTCCTCGAGAAAGACAAACGCTAGTTAGAGCCAATCTAAGACTATTCTATGGAGAACTTCTGCTTTCAACATTTTACCAATTGAAGCTGTCTGTGCTAACTATTTCCATCAATTTATGTTTTGTAGAACAAAAATAGAGAAAGTAAAAAGGTCATCAGTACTTTGTTAAAAAAGGAAAAACAGAAATAATTTTAAATAGTTGACAAGAAAATGGATGTATATTGTTTATGTATATTGCCACTGATCGGCAAATTAAAATTATGTCCGGCGGGCCGGATAAAACCTTCCGGCGGGCCACAGTTGGCCCGCGGGCCGTAGTTTGCCCATCCCTGTTCTAGCATTAGGTCACATAACAATTAAATAAGAACAAAATGAAAATTTGTCTAAAATACCCTACCTAAAATACACTAATCGTTATAAAATTTTCGAAACGTATTTATAAAAATACCAAGCGTATTTTTATAAATACGTTTGGTAATTTTCGCAATTTTAATTTTTATATTTTTATTATCCCATTAATAAAAAATTAAATAGCAAAAAAAACGCATTTTTTCGAAATGAATTTTATATATAAGCTAAAAAATTTACGTTACGTTCTGCAGCTTCCGGTACAGTTTTCTCAAAGTATTTTAAAGCGTTTTAATTTTTTATTATAATTATATCTATTACTTTTAATGAAAAAATATATATAATTTCAAAAATGTCTAAAACTATTACATTATTAAAAATGAACGAATACAAGCAAAATTAAAAATTAAATATCTACCCTGCTTAAAATTAATTAAAGAAATATTTAACTATGAAATGTCAATAAATTTTATTTTAAAGTATTTAGTTTGAAAAATATTTGAAACTGTATCATTTTATTTTAATAAATTGGATAAGTGTTAAAATACTATCAATTAAATAAAAACTAGAAAAACAGATAGAAGCATTAAATATTTTAAAAATAAAAACAAACAAACGAAATTAATTTTACCTCATCAGTGGCCATTATTTTCAACTAAACAGTAGTAGGTTATTTTCTTCTTTATTATTATCATTTCATTTCAGCGAAATTCGATAAACCACATCAAAAATCGTCAAGGTATGAATTGAATGAAAATTACCAGTTCCTTAAAGTGAATCAAGAAGGTAGGAACGCGCGCCACCTACTTTAAAAAACAAAAAGTTGTTTCTCGTTAAAGAACGGAAAAATCCCAAGCAACAATATGCTAATTATGCAATCAGACACTTTTCGGAACAATCTCTATTTCAATTATATTTTTTTTTCGAACAAAAGTAAAAACTTAATTTTAAAGAATAATTTTGAAAAAAAATGCATGACAATTTTATTTAAATTTTTTTTTAATGATTGCTATATTTTTATTTTTTAAAATGTATTTATTTAACATACATTTATATTATATTTTAAACAATATTTTTGGTATAAGCTATTTAAAGCCACTAATTCATCGAATTCCATTGATTTTTTTTAATAATTACTAAAGTTCTATTGTTTAAAATATATTGCTTTAGTTTTTTTCCAATTCCGAAATTGAACTATTAAAATTACAGAGAATAAATACTTAAAAATATTTTTATTCTAAATAAATCTAGCATTTAGTGGATAAATATAATTAATGTAACTAGTTATACAACAATAGCTAATTTTGCAACAAAAAAACTTTCAGAACTCAGAGTTTTTTTTACAGTTTTTCTGTGTTTATAGCATAGTTTATCTTTTTCGACTAAAAGAAAAGAAATTGTTCAAAATTTCATTTTAAGGAATAATTTTTAAAGAAGTACCACATATTTTAAAGACATTATAGCATAGATGTTTCATTATATTTTTTACCGCAACAATCTTATTTTACAGTATTTTTTTTATTGATTACTAAATTTTTATTGCTTAAAATATAGTTATTTAATCTAATTTAAACCCTATTTAGGGGCATAAATTAAAATAATGGATAATTAATTCACCGTTAGACTTAGATTAATTTAATCTAGATAATCTCTGGCTATTTTTGTTGATCTAATCTAAATAATCAAACAGAAACAAACATCTAGAAACTACTTTGTTTTTATCAAATAACCTAGAAGACAACTGGTTTTAAAGTAAGGGGGAAAAAAAGAAGTAGCCTCAGGTGTTATTCCCATTCACTCACAAGACAATTGTGTGCTATCCATTAAAAGGTTTAAAATATAAATATAAAATTATATCATACAAAAGTAGACAAGTACCGACTCTCAATTTTAAGTCGATAAAAGGTTTTAAATATAAATATGAAAATATATCAGTTTATGAAAGTAGAAACATATATCATTTTATCATCAATATATTATTATTATATCATTTTATATAAGTAGAAAAAAAAACCTTAAAAATACCATCTCAAAATTATGTAAGCAGGAAAATGGTTTAAAATAAAAATACAAAAATACATCATTTGAGAGAAGTAGAAACAAACTATAAAAGTACCAACTCACATTAATGTGAGGTGATAAAAGGTTTTAAATATGAACATAAAAATAAAATATATCATTTAAAAAAAAAAAGTAGAAACGAACCGAATTCAGATTCACAATTATGTAAACAAACATAAGTCGTTACAAGATTTTAAATATAAATATAAAAATCTCTCATTTTATCAGTTTTTATTTTAAACTAATTTTAAAATCTAATAGAATTAAATATTTTGTTAACTTGTTAGTTATTAACATTATATTCTATGTTTAACATTACATTCTATAATATTTTTTCATGATCATTTAGCATTTATTCTTAAACATTTCGAAATTAAACTGTCATAAAAATGTTTAGAGGAAAAAAATGTTCGACATATTTTTAAAGATTAAGATGTGGTGAAATAATATAATGAATTAATTTTTTATTCATCACACAAACTCTTACTAATCAGCAAGTATTTACATATTCATGAATCGTAAACCCTTAAAATTTCTCATTGGGAACGAACTACATATCATCTTTATACTAGCCTGTCTGGGGAATTTATTTACTCAGTTGCAACGTTTTAAACTGAAGTTCTCTTTATGTTTCGTGCCAAATTTTAAGCGAAACGGCAGCAAAATTAAATTAGTTTTGTACAATTTGAGGAGGTAAAGAAAAGTTGCACCATTTCAGCCATTGGTACAATATGAGTTTTGAAATTACCATAATAGGCTATAATCACGTATTCTTTTCTTTTAAAAATATTGACAATTAAAGAAAACTAAAACTCTCTTTATTCAATAAATCTATTTTTCATGAAACACAAATTTCACTTTAACCGGACAATAACGTACACAAATTCCTAATGATTCGTTAAATTCATTTTTTTTAAAGTAATTTAAATTTCATTCACAAGATCAGTGTACAGTCCGCAAAAAAAAAAAAAAAAAAAAAAAAAAAAAAAAAAAAAAAAAAAAAAAAAAAAAAAAAAAAAAAAAAAAAAAAAAAAAAAAAAAAAAAAANATGGTTCCTGGGGGTGACCTCAAATATGCTAATTAATTAGTGCTAACTATTAATTAAGTTACGAAATCAAACACAAAAACGTACTTTCTCTGAATAAACATATAATTTTTTTTACATATTTGGATTCTTAACCTTAAAAATATAGGAGGTAGCCGCAATCTGGGAAATATGGTCCACATAGTTTGGTCAGGAGAGCGATCCAAAGTTCGTACCCCTTAATGTTAATTTCACTTTTTGCGTTTTTAGTACATTCTTTGTATACTTATGGTATTGCCCAACAGCACATTGAAAATTAAAAAAAAAGAGAGAGAAAGAAAAAAAAATAAAGAAAGTTTCAAGGATGTGTATCAGGCTTCCTTCAGTATAAACTTAAATAAATTCCAGACATAACACTAAATAATAGTTTATAAACAATAATTATAACATTAAGAATTCGAATTAAAGTCAGTTTGCAAAATTCTAAATTGAACAAATAATTTCTTTTGTTTCATCTTTAAATGATTTTATGTACCTATTTATTTTTTTTCCTAATGCGTTTGCAGAGTGACAAATTAATTAAACTGACAAAAATATCAAGCAGAAAAAAATTATCGGAATAATTGCTTTTGAAATTGTATATGTTTATTATTTGATGCAGTTTACATTCTAATAACTTTATTTAGATACGTAATGTAAAACATGTAAAATAGAAAAACATACACTAGTGTATTTTATTCTTTTGTCATACCAGTTAACGACATTTTACAACTCTAACATATGCGGTTCTAACAATCAAACCTTAAAATACGTAGCACCTGTGCAAATATAACGAAAAAGTAAGCAACAAATAGGTGGTAATATCTTGCCGAAGCACATTGAAAGGTTTTCCTTAGTAAGAAAACAGGTAGATTAGGATGAAGTTTTTGAAAAAAATTAAATAATACATCCAATCGGAAAGACGATACTCGGTTTCACTTCAAGCTTCCTGTTATGCTGCTTAAATGAAATGGGGAAAACACCTATTAAGAAAGGTAATACCCGTAAAATGATAATTATGTCATAACTCTTAATATTTACTAGAAACAAACTATTAATAATATTATAACAAATACGGATTAAGGTACTAAGATCGATAAGCAAAAGTGATTATTGTTTAATAAGGCTTAATAGATCGATAAGCAAAATTATTAACAAGGTTCAATGCTAATCTTTTCTATGCATATTGCATTTATATTAAATTAAAAGTATCACATTCTCTCATAGAAATAAATGTTCGAGAATTATTACATTGATTTATGCCAATCAATTTTATTTCTGAATAATGATTTTCGCAGAATTATCTTCGAGTAAATGTTCCATTTATAGTGTTTTTTCCCTTAAAAAACCTTTATTGATTGACCGTTAATATAAATGTTTTCTTTTCCAACAGTTTAGCTATCATTATATTAAAATAAAATGCCTAAGAAAATTTTTTTTTCTTCATTTAGAAGTGAAAATTAATTATTACCCGTTGCTCAAATTTAAATAATTTTGTTTCTATATTTTTGATTCATATGTTTTCATGAGGTTTGTATATATATTCCCTATAAACTGTTAGTTATAAGTAATTAAATAAATGACAATAAACATTCATGAAAGAAACTATAAAAAAACTATTACTAACATGCAAAAAATATTCATATAACACATCGAACTTAAATTTTAGGCATATGCTACAAAATGGAAATAAATTATAAATTAAAAACATTCAATCTCTCCTTTGATAAATCATTAAATAATCGTTTATTAAAACTCAAAAAGTTATATTGAAAGCCAAATTGAAACTAATTTCAATCTAAGCCTTATTGAAGAATAAATATTGACACATTTTAATTAAAATACTAGTTCTAATGGAGCATTTCACAATATCAAGAAAGACTTTCTGAAAGCAAATCAATTCATTTGAAAACTGTAATTCAATTTGATTTGTTTGAAAAATATTTTGAAATTTTATCAAACGATTTGACAAGTAGATTTTAAATGTGTATGAGATGAAACTCTGGTAGTTCTGAAAGAACAGGAGATGGAAGTTTGGTAACTATTTCTTAAGATTTGAAAAAGATTTTTTTTTAATTGAAAAAATTAAAAATTATGATTAAAAAAACTAAAACCCAATATATTTCTTATGAATTGAACATCACAATCTCCATATTTATAAACAACTTCTACAGCTGCCAGATCTGTTTTTAAAACAAGCTAAAAAAAACTTAATCCGGAAGTTCCTAAATTAGAGAGTCCTAATCGCCGCCATTTCGGAGCAACAGCTTTTCCCCTATGGCTACAAGATTTGACAACTTATTGCTGCAAACGGCTCTAACCTCAACTATGATAATTCGTAAAGAAAAGCATGTTTGCGTACTTCGATTTACATTGTTTTCCGGAAGCTTTTTTTTTAAACTTGCACAAATTCATTATAAAATTTATTATTATCGTTATTTAAAATAAAAACTGTTATTCATTACTATATAGAAATAGTTTATACACATTTTTGGTTCTTTAAAAATAATAAAATTAAAAAAGCAAGTGAGGAAGAATTGGTAGATTTGTAATTGTATTAGATTTAAATTTATAAAAAATTAATCCCGATTTTTTGATAACTTACTCCTTTCTGTCTTTTTGGAGGAATTTTTAAGGGATTTGGAA